TGCTAACTGCCCTCTTGTATACTGCCTGCCCAACACCCATGTTACCAGGCTGCTGCTGTTGCATAGCTGCTGTGTGCCGTGGAGTCGGTTTCGACTCATAGAGACCCTGTACGTACAGGGTTTCCCAGGCTGTACATCTTTATGGGAGCAGAAAGACTCATCTTTCTCCCACAGAACCCCTGGTAGTTTCGAACTGCTGACCCTGAGGTTCACAGCCCGATTCGTAACCACTACGCTATCAGAGCTCCTTGTTACAGGAGTAGAAAGCCTCATATTTCTTCCGCAGAGTGGCTGGTGGATGCAAACTACTGACCACAGGGGTTAACAGCCCAAAATGTAACCCATTCGACTACTGGGGTCTACCCTATATAGCCTGTCAATAATTTTCCCTTCCCTTCCAACCGTCATGAGAACTGTTTTCTTTGCTTACAGATTACCCCATGCCAGGCACACATGTTTGTTGTTGGTGGTGTTAGGTGCCATCGAGTCGGTACCGACCCATAGCGACCTTTTATGCACAGCAGAACGAAACACTGCCCTGATCCTGGCACACATGAGGCACCACCAATAAATACTTGCTGAATTCATGGGAGTTAGGAATCCTGGTGTGCCACTGAAGGTTAAGTACTCGACCACAGGTTGGTTTGAACCGCAAGGTCCAATTCACCAGCAGCTCTTTGAAAACCCTATACAGGGCTACTAAGGGTCAGACCTGATTTGACGGCACTTAACAATGTGATAACAAGGATTAATAAGTCAGCAAAGTCTTCTCCTGTCAGGAACCACAGGCCCCCAAGTGCACTGAGTTGAGGTCCCACATGGTTCCTTGGGGAACCGGTCCACTCAGTTCTCAAGACTCCGGACAAGGAAAGGGTCACTGGTTGCTAAGCTGGGCATACCTGTACCCTTGTGGACCCTGCCTCAGACCGAAGCTTCAGAACCAGCAGCTCCTTGGAAAGGAGACCCCATATATTACCGATCTGAGACCCACAGCTCTAGATGTCCAGATATCCCTCTTGTTAGACCCTGGGACAGGTCAGGTGATGGAGAGAAGGCTCTGGTCTCTGCTGAATTCCTGAAGGGTAGAGTCAGGTGCCTAACCGAGTCCCTTGTACCCACACCCAGAGAGCCTCTCCTAGCTCAAGAATTCACTGTGCTTCCTGGGAAGGGGAAGGAGCAGGATGACTCCTCAAAGCACCTGCTTCCTCTCTGCGGCTGGGCCAGCCCAGAGGGAGCGGAGAGCAAGGCCCTGGGGAGGGTCTCCAGAGGGTGAGCCAGGGCTGGGGAAGAGCAAGCAGTGCAGGTGGCCCCACTGAGGATGGCCCATCTCCTGCTGCCCCCATCCCATTTTCTCCCTGTGACCTGCTCCTGACAGGGAAACAAAGTTGCCACACCAACCTCGCATGCCTGGACCCAGAAGGAACCCCATACTGTCTCGTGTGTACAAGATAAGAAGGCATCTTAGAGCTGAGCACTCAGGGTAAGTGTGTCCAGACGGCCAGTGCTGCTCAATGCGGCCATCCCAGGAGCAGAGGCCATCAGTCCCCTGGCCCAGGTGTCCATCCTGGCCCCCAACTCAGGTATCTACCCTGGACCCCAACCCAGGCATCTCTTACACAGCTGCCTCGGGCACATCTGGAAAAGACCAGGAAAGGCTGACTCAGCCTCTAAGAAACTAAGCCTTCCCACATTGCTCTTGGGCACCCTACCAGGGATGCTCAATGTCTTCAGCAGGGGCAACACATTGATGGCAGAGGCTCCACACATTGATGGCAGAGGCTTAGCAGTGGTACGAGGCGTCCTGGGAGCAGGAGATGCACGCCCACCATACTAAAGACTGAAATGGAGTTCCCCAAGGAGTCTCCTTAATAACAGAAGATGGAGCAACAGGAATTTGTTGCCATCCATCCCCCCACTCCCAAAACAGGGAGCAGTGTCCACAGTTCAGCCCTGCTTGGTCTGAGATTCCACAGCCTCTTCTCTACTCCTGGCCTCAGGAAGGGGCCCAGCTGGGGTCCACTGGTCAGGAGCCCAAGGAGCAGACGTGGCAAGGGACACATATGAGGTTAAGAAAGGACACTGCCACCTCTCTTCCACCACCCCTCTGCCCCCATTCCACAGGAGCAATGGGCTGACCTTAAAGCCCACCAAACACTCCAAAAAACCCCAAAGGTCTGCACTGTGAGGTTCACCCCTATCGGTGCCTGCTCTGTGGGAGGTCACACATGTTCCTGACACTTTTATCCTTGCTGACATGTGTACAGACAGGGCTGAAGCATGACACAAAGACTGAGCCACAGTCTCAATACATCAAGACACACACAAGGACATACTTCAAAACCGCCTGACGTCTGGAAAGATACTAAAATACTTCATGAATGTCATGTTTAAAGGTGGAATTTTTTAGCCTCTTATTTTAGACTTTCTTATTTGGTGTTCCCTATGTGTCGGACCCGACTCGACGGCACTTCACAACAACAACAAACCATGTGCTTCTATTATCTTTTATTTATTTATTTTTTATACAAACATGGGTCATCTGGTATCATGGGTCTTTCTTTAATCATGCTCCTTGGAAACCCTATACAGGGTCGCTATGCCTCGGAATCGACTCAATGGCACTTAACAACATCATGGGACAACGGTTAAATGCTTGACTAAATAAAAGAAAGGTTGGCAGTTCGAACCCACCCAGAGGTACCATATTACAAAGGCCTGGCAACCAACTTTTTAAAAAGTTGTTGTTGTGAAGTGCCATCAAGTTGGCCTAAGAACGGCTGGGGGTTTGGACTGCCGACCTTGCAGTCAGCATTCCAGGGCTTATCCTACGGTGCCAGAGTCACTGGAAACCTTAAGGAGGTTCTACTCTGAAATCCAGGGAGTCCCTGTAAGCTGGAATCAACTTGACAGCAACTGGCTTTGGTTTGGCTTGTGTATATAAGAAACAGTTAATGTTGTTTTGGGAGTGATAAAAATGTTCTAGGAGTTCTGGTATGGTGCTGTAGGATAAGCACTGGATTGCTAACCACAAGGTTGTTGGTTCAAACCTACCAGCTGCTCCTTGGAAACCCTGTACAGGGTCACTGAGTTGGAACTGACTCAACAGTACTTAACAACAACAACAACAACATTCTGGAACTACTTAGTGATTGTGGCTGCACAACATTGGATAACAAACTGCCACTGATTTGTACACGTTAAAAAGGCAAAATTCACGTTATGTGCATTTTTAAAGTTATTATTTTAAAAATACAACTAAATGTGGCACTATAGGATACGCACTAGACTGTAAGGTCCCTTTGAACTGCAAGGTCGGAGGTTCAAACTCACCAGCCACTCCTTGGAAACCTTACACAGGGTTGCTAAGAGTCAGAACTGACTCAATGGCATTTAACAGCAACAGTAAAAATGCTCACCTTTCAGATCTGTTTTTATGGGATCAAACTGACAAGAGCAATTTGAAAGATTAGATGACAATCTTAGAGGATGGTGAGTTATATTCAAGGGGAGGAACGAGTCAGAAAAGAGCAGTCACACAACATGACAAATGCAATCAATGTCTGAATTGTACATGTAGAAACCACCCAATGATGGCAGTGTTCACCCCACTACCTCAAAGACGGGCCTCCCACAGACAGACCCAATCTAACCTCCACGGTGAAGAGGGCAGAGCCTGGGTTGGGTCCTAGATGCCACAATCCAGCACTGTGGGAGGGCCATTTATAAAAACCAAACCCAAAATCCACATAAAATGTAGGAGGGCTAGACTGCTAAGTCAGTTTGAACCACAAGGCTGGCAGTTCAAGCTCACCAGCTGTTTCTCAGGTCGCTGTGGGTCAGAATCAACTCGATGGCACTTAACAATGACCTCTCCAAGATCGTCCCTTCCACACTGGGATGCTGAACTCAACTCACACCACACCCAGTCCCACCCTGGCTTCCCCTGGGCTAGGTCAAACTCTTTTTTGCAGCCAGGCTGCAGGCTCTTCCCTCTCAGGTTTTCCTAGAGGTCCTGACACACCCATCCCCTCTGGGCTCTCCTCCCTGCTCCAAAGCCCCTCGGTAAAAAACACCCAACAGGTTCCGAGAGAACTGGGGAGCATCAGCATCCCCTTGGGAAGAGAGGCTGAATCTAAGCCCTGTCCACCTCACCTAAATCTCACCTGTCTCAGGTGAGGGTCTCAGGGGGCCTTACCGCGGCTCCTCTGGTTACTCTCTATGCTGTGGACTGGCAAGGCCCAATCTGTTCACAAACGGTCCAGTCAGATCAAACCAAAAGCAAGCTTTACACACTCTGGCAAAACAGAATTTTCCACCCCTGGCCAACTCTGCATGTCCTAGTGAGCAATCCCCGCCCCCCCCCCCCCCCCCCCCCCCCCCCCCCCCCCCCCCCCCCCCCCCCCCCCCCCCCCCCCCCCCCCCCCCCCCCCCCCCCCCCCCCGCTGGCGTGGAAAACAGACCAGGTCTCCGTCCCTCCGTCTTAAGGTGTCCCAAGCCGCCTCGGGTGGAGAAAGGCCCCCCAAGACAGGCTTCCTGCGTCCCGGGATTAGTAGGCACAAAAATCCAGATGGCAGAAGCTAAGCCGCCGAGGTAACGCGCTCTGTCCACACCTCCGGGACAGAGTCCATCCGGAGACGCGTCGCCGACCTCCTAGCCAGGCAACAAGCACAAGGGGCCCGAAACCCGAGGGTCCCATCTCCGCCGCGGTATCCCCGCACCCAGCCGGCCGGCCACCTGTTTCCCCACTCCCCAAAGCCAACACTATTGTGCAAACCCGAAACCTGGACTTCGTCATCGTAGAGAAGTTCCCGGCGGCACTTTCTACAGGTGTCTTTCTCCGACAGGAGCCAGGAGACCTGACTAGGGAGCGGCCAGAGGACCCGGACGCAGTGCTTCCCACCCGGCTAAGGGGGGTCCCAGTTCTCGCCCGCTCTCCCGTCCCGGGGTCGGGCGTCCCAAGGGGGCGGGCCCGGTCAGGTGGGTCCCCGCCCGCGCCTCACCTGGAACCCCGGGCCGGCCCTGCCCGAGGCCTCTGCGTCCTTGGAGCCCGCCACCGGCTCCGCTCGCTTCGCGCGCCGGCCCACGGGCTGCTGGGGGCCTCTCCTTCCTGCTCACCTCCGGCGGGCTGGCGGGGCGGAGCCTCCGTATTGACATAAAGGGTGAGCCGGCGGGACCCGGCCCCGCCCACGCGCCGATGGGCGGGGCGTCCTGGGGCCGGGGCCCGGCTGCGGCCAATCACTACCCCAAAGGCGCGGGGCGGGGCCCGGTTCGTGAATCTGCACGCGGCCCGCAGACCAGCCCTGGCCTCACCTGTGCGTACCTGCGACGCAGAACGCAGCGCCCCGCCCCGTGTCCCGCCGCCTCCCGCAGGAAATAGTTCCCGGAACGCGCTGAGGCCCCCCGGGGCCGCCTCCCGAGAAACGGCCCCTCCCACCGCTCAGCCCTACAGCCAGGGGAAGGCCCAGCCGCATCAGAGCAAGGCGCTGCAGACGCAAGACAACCTTTGGGACCTAGGAATGGGGGCATTGCTGCAAGGTGCCTCCCCTCGGGGCGGGCCTTAGGGTCCCCTTCCCCAGTCGTGTAGATGCTGGCGGAAGTTTGGTGCCCCGGCTAGTGTTCTTAGCACCTTTGATGGCGGGCTTAGATGACGAGGGGGTTGGAAAGGTTATGAAAGTCCGGCCTGAGGGGCGGGGAGGTTAGATGGGGTGGGGCACATTCCTCACGCAGGGGCTACTAGGGCTCCAGGCTCTCCGCCTACCCAGCCGAGCCCCGACTTCCTCCTACGGACCACCCTTCGGAAACCCAGGCAACTCAGGCTTGAGGTCTGTGGCTTCCCGTCCCCAAGAGGGGTGGGGTGCTTTCCGGCTTCCTCTCCCTTAGCTCCCCCAGAGAGAGTTGCTTGTGTGTGTGTTCAAGTACTGTGGACAACAGAGCGGCGCGAGGCACTGCAGATTCTGGATTGTGGGATTCAACTTGTCCCTTAAATACAGACAGCACAGGGAGGGAGAACTTTTTAATGGCTTTGGCTTAATTGCATGAAGCAGGCACCCTCTTGCTTAAAGGCACAGAGTCCTCTCCTCAGCCCCACTTTGCTGGGTCTCTGAAATCTAGTCCTGAGTTCCAAGGCAGTCAATACAAGGCAGCAACCTCGGGCCTGGAGCCTGGAAGCACAGTGGCCAGCTAGGGCGGGCATGGCTTTGCTCTCTCACAAACATCAGACACCAGCACCCTAGAGGCTCCAATCCTAAAACAAGTCCAGGCTCCAGCCCCAGCCGTTCCCTGAGGGGGAGGAGCCCAGCAGTCAGTGATCCAGGTCGGTGGGCAGTGTGAAGTCTCGGAAGCTGTAGAAGGAAATATCTCCATGATCCACCAGGGCAAAGATCAGGGGGACATTCCCACTCTGGTAGGATAACCGTTTGAGGGTGCAGAGGTCTGGGACCGGCTGGTCAAATCTGTAGAGAGAAGGGTTAGACTGAGACCCTGGCCTTGCTGAGGCTTCCAGAGAAGGATGGTGTCCAAGGCGGAAGCTGGGGGTACAAGAATGCTGTGCCCTGCCTGGGAAAGGGCTAGAGGAGCAAGGCTCTCACCATTCAGCCTGTTGACCCCTTCTATTGGGGGGTCTGGGACTCACTCACATCACAGGGGAGAGCCGACCCCACATGCCAGGAGTGAAGAACTAAGTACTGGCACACCTGGGTTCCGACACACTCACACAAGGTCATTAGCCTCTCTGGACTTAAGGTTCCTCCTGAACTGGCATAGTGGCCAGGAGTTGGGGGTAGAGAGAAGGTACATGTGCCTTCAGGGGTGCACACACATCTCGTACCCACTAATGCACATCCGAGCGTAGGGCCTGCCAGGGTTATTCTTTCGGAAAGTGGCCACGGCGTTGGCCTGGTACACGTCGAAGCTGATCTCCAAGTCCCCAGACTTCTCCAGCAGCCTGAAGACAGAGCGAGAAACTTCAGGAATGGGACTCTGCTCCGCATCTCTCCCTTTCCCTCCAACAGCTCCAGAAGGCAGTCTGGTCCAGGGGAACTGAGGTCCTGGCTGTAAGGAGCCACGGAGGGGCTGGCAGCAAGGTGGTTGGGTGCCCTGGCTTAGAACTCTTAGGATAAACAAACACACCCTTTGTTTATGGTTAAGGACCCCTAGTGGTGATTGTGATAAGATGGGTCAAGTGTTGGGCTATTAGCAGAAAGCTAAACAGTTCAAACCCACTAGTCACACATAGAGCAGTCTGCTTCCATGATGTATAACCTCAGAAAACCCTATGAGGCAGTCCTACTCTGCCCTACGGGGTCACTGAGACCAAATCATCTCCACAATAGTGGGTGGGCAGTGGGTGGGTGGGTGATGGTGCTATCTATAGTCCCTTCTCCCATTAACATAAACTACTGCTCAGGGCTAGGCATGTGGAGATGGCTCTGCTCCTGAAATGAGTCGCCAATGGCTGCACCAATTCATGTCACTGACTGCAGACTCACTGGGCCGCTCCGTCAGTCAGGTGTGTCGTCTGCAGCACCGAGATGCGCTGGAGGACTGTGGCTACGATGAGAGTGAGAACAAGGTTTTGGGAGAGTCCATGAAATCCACAGACTCCCAGTAATCCTGATCTGCCAACTAGTTTAGGATTTCCAGGCTTAGCAGTAAAAATAGAGGACACCTAGATTTTACCTGGTATTCCTAATGGAATTCCTGACAAACTGCCATGTCCCTACAAGGATGTGAAGCGTTCTGAATCCATTCAAGCATTCAGCCTGGGCTAGTCTGGCCCTGTCAGTTCCCTATGCTTGATAACAAGAGCCGAGGGCAAACCTTTATTTGACCAAGACAGCACCTCCTGGTTCCCATTTATCAGGGAGGGAGAGCAGGGGCCACAGGTGGCAAAGCCATCGCATGCCTCTCGCGGGCGTGGTTTTCACCTCACCTCTCCTTGGTCACCAACCAACCCTCTCTAATGTTCCCATTTGGGCCCTCTTGCTGCTGCCCTGGGCTCCGCTCTACCAGTCTCTCCTGCCCCACCCTTCTTAGCCTGGCCATCCTGGCTGCCCCATGCCCCTTTCATTCAAAATCTTGTGTTTCCTCAGCTGCTAATGCCTAGCAGGGGGATGGCAAGGTGACTCCCGTACCTGGGGAGTCGGCCTGGCCAGGACTCAGCAGTGGGGTGACAGGCTGATCCCACAGGTGTGGGGGGCGGTTCAGGGTCTTCCGCAGATGCCGCCTCCACAGCAAGTCTTTGTACTCCTGCCAACTGGAGCAGCGCTGCACCTCAGGGTCCGCATTGACATCTTCCCGGAAGTGCTGGGTCTCAGCCTGTCTCTCCCGCCAGGAGAGCTTTTCCTTCCGCTGGTTCAGCTTCTGACACCAGGACTGGGCATCTGTCTCCCGCCCGGTGATGTTGGCTGGGAGCAGCTCAGGGGCTGGGGCAAGCAGGAGGGTCTGACGACTATCTGAAGCCATGTTGGGGAAGGAGATCTGTTCAAAGTCCCAGCGTGTCTTACAAGTCCCCGTGGCCCCATTCTCTACTTTGCCACCCTCCTGGTTACACCCCACCCCATCCCTGGCCAACCCAGGCCAAGGGTCCAGGGATCCCAGAAACTCTGGATCCTTTTTGGGGCTTGACTTCTGCACTTCCTCCTTTGGGCCTTGGCTGATGCAGAGAGGTGGGTCTGAGGTCGCCTGGCTCTCGGGTGTCCCATTCAGCCCCTGCAGGAGCTTCTCCGGGGTCTTGGGCTTCTTAGGCATGGAGCTGAGGGGGATGGGGAGGAAAAGCAGCAGTTCAGCTCCCCATCAGCTGATGTGCTCACACTTCACCGTGTACCTGGCTGGCTGTCTAGCTGGAGCCACTGCCAGAGCTGCCCAAGTGTCTGCTCAGGATCCAAATCCCGGCACTCCCCCAATGGCTCGGCACCCCTACAACTCCTGGGGGGGGGGCTGTGGTGGGAGCGCTACCGAGAACTGGAACTCCTCCTCTTCCTCTTGCCATGCCCACCCTCCAGGGGTTGGGTGCTGCCGTCCAGGTTCAGCTGCCTCTCGTAAAGGGACAGGATGGAGCTGAGGGAAAAGGATGGGGCAGACAGATAGCAGATCCATCTCTGGTGCCTGCTGCTCCCACTTCAATCTGTGGGGCACGAGGCTGAGAGAACACATGTCACGTGGCCACTGCTCAGCTTGGGCCTCTGGCCTCGCCAGTGGTCCCTTTAAACAAAGAGGTTTCCTGGAATGGTGGTGCCCGCTATGCGTCAGAGCTGCCCAAGCATCTGCCAGGGTTCCCAAAAAAGGAGAGACCACTTTCTCACCTTGCACTAGGCAGCTGCGTCCCAAGGTTAGAATGACAAGAAGAGGGACAGGGATTTACCTTGGCTGGAATCGTCGAACCACATAGCCCAGTCTCTTCAGGTGACTGAAGACCTCCAAAGGGAGAAAAGACTTGAGTCAGACGTCTCCTTTCAAAAACCCCAAGCAGTTTCTCCAGACAGGAACCAACCAATCCCACCCTTCCTGCATACATGCAGATCCCCAACTCTGATACTGTTTAGACCACACTCCACTATATAAACACCCTCCCCAAAGTAGGGTCTCCACCTCTGAATTCCTGTCCTGCCCACCGACCTTACTGTGGGCACAAACGACATTCAGTAGCTTCTTGACTTAAAAGCAACAGAACCGAAAAAGAACTAGGCCCTAGAATATCTTAACACCAAAGATAAGAATGAAGTTCTTACGATTTAGACAAAAATTCCTCCCATCTCCAGACACAGGTGGGGTGGAAGAGGTATTTGGTGAGAGCCACACCTTCATCCTTGTAGTCTGTTTGTCCACACCAGAGGGACATCTACAAGGATGTCACCTCATCTGGTCTGAACTCTCAACACCCTTCAACACAGCTGACCATTTCATTTCTTCCTCAAAAGACCTTCTTGTGGCTTTTACACTGTTACCTCTCCTTGTTTTTTCTTCTGTGTCACCTGCTGTTTGTTCCTTGGTCTGGTCCATCAGTCTTCTCCCAATTTTCTTGTGTTAGACAATCCCAGGCCTCAAACCCCACCCTCTACACTGGCCACACTCTCATACACTCAACAGCTTCAAAGGGCTCATCAAGTCCACGTTTCATGCAGAGAGCATGAAACTTGGTATCCAGTTGCTGACTTGACCTCTCTGCCGTCGAGTCAGTTCCAACCCACAGTGACCCTATATAGGGTTTCCAAGGAGCAGCTGATGAGTTTGAACTGCCGACCTTGCAATTCAAACGGCTTTGCAGTCTGACGCATTAACCCACAGCGCCACCCTAGGACTGGCGCCACCCCTCTGTGTGTACACTATGCCAATCACCGAGACTGTGTTCCTCACCCCTTGCCCCGGCGGGTCTTGTCTAGGGGCCTTTGCACCTGTGTCCTCTGCCTCCAAGTCTTTACATCACTAGTGCCTGCTTTATAGGTCCTACTCTCAACATTAACAGCCTTTCAAAGACACTTTCAGACCTCCAAATCTAAATTAGAGTTTCCCACTCTCTCACTGAACCCTCTGTGTCATCTCTCTCTGAAGTCCAGTTCATTTGCTTGTTCACTTATGTATTATCCAATTGCCACTGCTAGAGGATAAGTACCCTCAGAACAGAACCCTCGTTTGTCTTGTAGCCCCAGCTGGCAGCATCTTGTAGTTTCTTGTAAACACTTGTATATACTCAGTGATTTGGTGGATGGATGACTAGACCCTGGGGAAGGTGGCACATACCTGGTACTGCAGGAAAGTCACAGTGTCCTCGGTCAGCAGCAGCTGGTAGGCCTCCTGGATGGACAAGGACAGGTCTTGATGGAAGAGCTGGATGGAGCCCTGGAAAGTAGAAGCCACCAGCTCAGCCTGTGAGTCCTCCCATGTACCGGTACAGCCAATGGGCCAGTTTCCTGACTTAGCTACAACTCCCTCGCACCCCAGCATCACTGCAAAAATATGGCCAACCAGGAATAGGGTCTTTAACACTGATCTGGCGGACTGGAACCCCTGTTCCCTACATGGTTCTAGTCTCCCACTCTAGAAGTTGAAATATACAAGCTCTTTGGAAACTCAGTCATGTTGATTTATCTCCACCACTCGTCCTTCTGTTTCTTTGATCCCAAGTCCCTCCAGGTCCTACTCACACACTCCAGTAGATACAAGGCCTCTTCGGGGTGAAGCCGCTGCCGGCCCTGCGCTGAGAAGCCCATGGTCTGCCAGAATTTGCCCTGCATGGGACACGGAGAAAGTATCACAAAGAAGCCTGGTGGGCGGAGAGACGCCAGCCCCGGAGCCCCGCGGCTCACCGCAGGAGATTTCAACTCCACGAAGCCTTCTTCCGGCCTCCACTCTGCGGCCACCAAGCTGCCCCTGGCGAATGAGTGACACGGGGGGCGTCTCAGTCCCCCTGTGGGTCTCGGAGCCCGCCCGCTCCGAGCCCCCCGTCCCGCGCCCACTCACAGGCGCTCCACGCGTTCCTCTGCCAGCAGCTGCCAGAGTTCTTGGCGGCACTGTCGCAGCCGCCCGGCCTGGGCCTCCGAGCCGTCCGGGAGGAAGTCCTTGGGGCCATGAGAGCGCTGGGGGAGCTTCTGGGGCCGCGTGCGGGCGGCGAGCAGCTCTCGGGCGCTGGGGAGGAGGGACGCGAGTAAGCGCCGCGCAGTCTGGACACCTGTCCCAGGACGTCCGCCCCTTCCCCGCGCTCCCCCGGCGTCTCCACAGCCCCTAGCTCTCCCCCGGCAGTTCACACCTGAGCACGCGCCCGGCGGGAACCTCCACGTCCGAGGGTTCGGCGTCTGGCTCCATCGGGCCGCCATCTGCGGCTGCGCGCGCGTACAGTCCATGCCCTGCCCACCCCCGAGCTCCGCGCGGTCCTAGCGCTCGCCAACACACATTAGGTTCCTGGAAACCCTCCTCACCCAACAGGCTTCCGCCTTCCTGGCTATTCTGGGTCCTAGCGTCGCTCTTGGATGCCTGGTGTGGCACTGTAGGATAAGCACTGGACTGCTAGCCACAAGATTGGTGGTTCAAATCCACCAGCCGCTCTTTGGAATCTCCGAGTCGGAAAAGAATCGGCGGCACTTAACTGCAACAGTGTCGCTCTTACACGTGTACTTTGATTTCCGGAGCTAAAAAGCGCTCACCTACTAACCGAAACGTTGGCCTCGATCAAACACATCCGCGATGCTGTGGGTAAAAGTACCTGGCGATCTGCTCCGGTAAAGATTCAAAATCCAAGCCAAATCCGCTGTCGTGGTGTCGGTTAAAAAATCGTAGAGAGCCTATAGGACAGAGTTGTTGTTGTTAAGTGTCATCGAGTCGGCTCCAACCCATAGCGACCCTGTATAGGGTTTCCAAGGAGCAGCTGGTGAGCTTGAACTACCGACCTTGCAGTTCAACCGGCTTTGTAGTCTGGCGCATTAACCCACATAGCACCACACCAGGACTGAGTAGAAGGGCCCAATAGGATTTCCCAGCCTGTAAATCTTAACAGATGCAGATTACCACATCGTTCACCTAGAGTGGCTGGGGGTTTGAACCACCGATCTCTCAGCTGCCAAGAGCTAAACCACTGCCACCAGAACGACTTCCGTAAAGATTACCCCAAAACCCACTGCCATCAAGTTGATTCAGACTCATAGCGATACACAGGGTTCCAGGACTGTGAATCTTTTCAGGAGCAGACAGCCTCATCTTTCTCCCGCGGAGCAACTGGTAGGTTTGAACCGCGAGTTCTACTCTATTATATGGGGTTGCGGCACTGTGGGATAGTGCGCCAGGCTGCAAAGCCGTTTGAACTGCAAGGTTGGCGGTTCAAGTTCCACCAGCTGCTCCTCGGAAACCCTACACAGGGTCGCTATGGGTCAAAACCGACTCGATGGCACTTCAACAACATCAATGAATCTACTTGACGACACATAACAAGAATTCCTCTTCTCCTGCCCTCAGCCCTCTTCTGGGATTCTTTAGTGAAAGTTGAGAATCCAATGTCCCGAAGTGCTGAATAGTCTAAATTGTGATCCTCTCTTCAGCAGCTCCCGGGCTAGGCAGGGAGGGAAGAAGAGGGGGCGCTTAAGGGAAGTAGGATAGTAAGTTCCCGAATTCCAGCTTTGAAAACTGAAGGCTACCTGTGGTTATTAAGTGCTGTCTGGAGAGGCTCAGAGTTCCTTCAGGGAAGTGTTGATTACCCAGTAAGCAAAGTAAAGACGAGTTTACTAGTGTTTATGTGGAGCCCTGGTGTGGCGCTGTGAGTTTATGCGCCATACGTCGGCTGTTCAAACTCACCAGCTGCTCCTCAGAAATCCTATACAGGGTCGCTGTGGGTCGGAACCGACTGGACGGCATTTAACAACAACAACAGGTGTTTATTTACTAGTTACCTTTTTTTTTTTTTTTTTACATCAAAGATGCTGCTTCTAGGTATGGCTGGCGTTTATATCTCTCCCAACCCTATAGCATCTTCCTACACAAGAAGTCTCTTTTCAAATTACAATCCCTGACAAGGACAGAATACCCGGTCAGCAAGGTAAGCACTGGCTTACTTGTGTTTACTTTATAATCTCTAGTGAGCAAATTAATAAATAAACACAAAAAACAGTGCTTAACTTGCTTCTTGGATAACCTGCCTCTGCTTCAGGGTCTCAGTTTGGTCCCTAGCAGGGGGCTCGGAAGCCCAGGTTCGAGGGCCAGGGGCGAGAGGAGCTGTCCGGAGCACGATGGTGCTGACGCGCCACCCCAGCCCTCCATCAGAGCCCCTTCTCAGACTGGGGTCCCCGCAGTCGCCACCATGAGCCGCTCCGACACCGTCCGCTAGGTGGCACCATTACTCCAGGCAGCGGCTGCGGCTCGGCGGCGCAGACGGGAATCGCTGCGGGAGTCCCGGGACAGGAGAAAGGGAAAGAGAAAAGGGGTGCTACCCAAGTGGGTCCCCGGGTCTCGGCTCCCAAAGCCCTTCGGCTCACTTCTTCTGTCCCATCCAGAGAATCTCGCCCCTCAGTCTAGACTCTAGAGCCTCAGGTGGCTACAGCTCCACAACCGGGACAGAACAGTTCGAACTCACCAGGAGGGAGTTCCCCCTACCCCCCACCACGAGCGCTGCACCTAGGCGCATGCGCGGATTCGACCGTCGCCCCCGGTTCGACCGGGTGAATGGGGCGCGGTCTGGCGCTGGTGGGGGCGTGGCATATATCGTTGATTGACAGTTCTACTGCGCGGCCGGGACGGTCCCTTCGCTCCCGATCCGGCGGGAGGGGGGGAGGGGCGGGATTTCCTGCGGGAGGCGCCGAGCCGGCCTTGGAAGACGAGGGGAAGAGGAGAAAGGGGGCCGGGGGCATTGGAAGCTACCGTCCGGAGAACCGGGGACCGCGCAGGGCCAGCCGGACTCCGGCCAGGCGGCCTCGAGAGGTGAGGCTGCGGGGCCCGCGCGGGGGTCAGCGTCCTTGGGGGTGGGCACAAACTAACTTTTCCTGCGGGATCGACGGGCGCCTCTATCTCCCTGCTCCTCTGCCCTCCTGGAGCCCCTTTTTCCAGTCTTCCCGCACCGATCCCTCCGGCGCTTGGCCCTCCCGATCCTTCCCGCCGCTTTGTTCCCTCTGTCGGTCTGGACTGGGCTGGGCTGGGGGTCGCGCGGCGCTAGAGGGGCATTCCAGGGGGCGGGGGAGCCAGCCGGATCCCAGGCACTGCCCGCCACGGGCCATGAGAGATAGTGTCCTCTGGTTTGGGCTGGGGACGTTTTGGGGCTAGGTGTCCCCAGCCAGGGCCCCAGGCCTGCACGCTGTCATGCCACAGGACTTGGGCAGCAAATACGTGACCACTGAGGATCTGGCAGTAGCTTTTCTACTGTGGGTCTTAGGTTCAGGCTTGGGGGGTCAGGGGATCCTGTGTTCCAGCAGTACCCCCAGCCCTTGTCTCTGCTCCCTGCCAGCTGCTCACTGACCCCACACAGGGGTAAGAATGGGTCAGCAACAGGTGCTGGTAAGCCTCTCGCTCCTGTAGGAAGGCCCTTCCAACTGAAATGGGGGGCCATCAGCTCCCCACAATACCTTCTCAACTCATAAAGAGAGAGCCCTGGGACCAAGGCACCCAGCAATGAAAGTCAGGCTTAGGTAGGGAAGTGTCTGGGGTCAGGCACCCTCCACCAGGAGTGACTCCAGTCCCCACGCTGTGCCTTACCCACCCAGGCCCACTTCCTGGCCTGCCAGTTGTCTGTGGGCGTCAGGGCCTCAGGCTGTGGAGAACAGGCTCCTGGCCCAGCCTGCTCGTGTGTCGTGCTGCCAGAACTCTCCTGCCTAAGGTTGAGGTGCTGCCAGGTACCCTGGGGCACGGGTGACTCAGCCTCTCCCTCCCAGCACAACACTACCCCCTCCACAGTTTCTTCTCCTGGCAGCTCCCTGCCCACTTTGAGGGGCTCAGCACCATCACCCCCGATCCTGGTGGGCCCAGCCAGAGTAGTATGGGGGTTCCCTGGAGGCTCTGCCCTGCTCATCATCTGAGCCCTGCTTCTGGGACCCTTGCAGGCTGTGGCACCTTTGCCAGTCTCCTGAGATGTGTCCACGGCTGTCATCCGAGGCCCAAGGGAATGCTAGCTGCTCTCTGGGTGGGCACTGGTGCTCCTGAGCCAAGGTGGGCAGAGTGGCCTGTCCCAGCCCGGCCCGGCCCCATCGGAAGCTGCAAGCTGATATCTGCCCAGATTTCCAGGCAGCCTCCACGCCCTCAGAGATCGGCTTTCCTGCTCGTGGTGGTAGAACCCTGAACACCTTGAGGGAGCACTGTCCGAGCCTGGGGCACCACATCCACCCGACAGGATCCCTGCTCTCTAGGGGTCCAGGCATGGTGCCTTGACTCTTCAGCTTGGACCACCTTCCCCTGCCTCTGACCTGGATCTCGGAGCCCAGAGCCCTGCCCCGGGGCCAGGATGGGTCGTGAGCAGGACTTGATACTTGCAGTCAAGAATGGGGATGTGACAGGAGTGCAGAAGCTGGTGGCTAAGATCAAGGCCGCAAAGACCAGTAAGTACCTAGTGGGGTGACAATCAGCTGAAACCAGTCTCTGAATATTCAACTTGTAGAGAGAGGCTTGGGGGTTTAGGGTGGAAGGATTGTTTGGTTCTAGATGAGAAAGTGTCTGGGTGGGAGAACCAGAGAGAAAGTTGGGCCCCCCTAGCTGTGTGTCCTTGGGATAATCACTTAACTTCTCTGGTCTTTCTCTTTTTTTTTTTTCCCACTGTAAAACTGGGTGAAGTATTTTCATTCAGACTTTTATTGAGTGCCAATTGCATGCCAGGCTCTATGCTAAGTATCGGGGTGTGGCAGTGAACAAGACAGACACAACTTTGTACCCTTGTGGAGTTGCTTCTAGCAGGTGGTTTTTAAGATGTGTTCTTTGGAGCCATGGAGTTCCTGGCATCAGGTTGGGAGAGACTAAATAGATAAGACCTCTAACCCCAGCCTCTCCACACAAGTGCGCACACACATACACACTCTCTCTCTCCTCAGTGGGAGCATCTCTACAGTTATATCTTAGTTAATGGGATGCCTATAAAAAGATCTCTTTTAAAAAGAAGATTTTATTGCTTTTTTAAAGAAGTTAAGTACTTTCTAACCATTAACTAACACCCCTCCCCCCCCCCCCCATCTATCTGCCTGTGTCCCCTGAGGGTATGTGGCTAAGTTGACTTGCTGGTTGACAGCCTGGGAGCTCTAGTTCTGACAGGATTGTGGGGGTCACGCCTGAGCCCCCTCCTCTGGCTCCCTCTATGGAGAACACCACTACCACTCCCCCACCCCCCAAGGACAACAGACCTCTGAGCTTCAAGGTGAACTCTCTGAGTCATCCCAGGAGGTCACTAGACTTGTCTCCTTGAGTTCTTGCAGGAGGTGGTTTGTGCCACTGGACTAGCTGGGGGAGGGGTTTCTTAGAAGTGAAGAGGACCCCCCCCCCGGGGTGCTGGAGGTCAAGCCCCAAGACACATCTTTGTCCAACTCACAGAAAGGAGTCTTTAGGCCATCTGAAGGTGTCTAATTATCCCAACCCACATCTGGGGGTGTGGGGTGCCAGAAGGAAAGATTTTCAGGGCCGGGAATTGTACGTACATGTGTGTGCACCCACTTGAATGCCAGGGTGTGGAGAGATGGGGTGGTCTGTGCCCTGGGGAAGGTGTCTGAGGCCCCAGGGGAGGGCCTTGGAGACCTGGGTGGGAGCTGCTCCCCTCCCCCCTCCTCTGTTGTTTTTGGCCACCTGCCCAGCAAGGCTTTGGTGGAGCTGCTGCTACTGCCTTGAGCCCTGGGGCCTCAGAATGAGGCCCTTAGGAGGGCAGGCAGGTGGGATGTGGAGGCAGGTGATAAGAGTCTCAGCCAGGCTCAGCTCTGAGCAGGCTCTCTGTGTCCTATGGGAACCGTGAAGGAAGAGGTCTGATCCCACAGCCCCAAAGGGGAGAATTAACCCCTGCAGATGACTTGCACAGGGCTACAAGGTCCCAGGGACTCTGCCCAAGCCACTGAGCAGCCAGAGAAGCTGGTGACAATAGTGAGATACTAGTGGTATTTGAAAGCCTTACAGTTTGCAAGAGGATCCCTGGTGGCACAATGGTTTACACGCATCATCCACTCCATAGGAGAAAGACTTGGTGGTCTGCTGCCATAAAGATTGGTGTTGGTGGTGAGTGAGTGTGTGATGTTGAGTCAGTTCCGACTCATGCAAACCCCGCATAGGGTTTCCAAGGCTGTAAAATCTTTATGAGAGCAGAAAACCTCATCGTTCTTCCACGGAGCGGCTAGTGGATTAAAACTGCTGACCTTGCAGTTAGCAGTCAAATGCCACTAGGGCTCCTTGTCATAAAGATTACAGCCTTGCAAACTGTATGGGGCATTTCTTCTCTGTTGGAATCAACTCAATGGGACATAGCCACAACAGTTTGTAAAATAAACTTCTCAGTGTCCCTGTGAGATACCAGATGTCACCCAGTCAAGTCTGACTGCTGGCGACCTCGTGCGTCAGAGTAGAACGACATTCTGTCAGGTTTTCTATGGTGGGGTTTTCAGAAGTAAATTGCCAGGCCTTTCTTCCTAGGTACCTGAGGGTGGGCTCAAATGTCTGGTCTTTAGTTTGCAGGGTACTCCCCCATTGAGATGTTGTTGTTGTTGTTGTTGAGTGCCTTCGAGTCGGTTCCGACCCATAGCGACCCTGTACAGGGTTTCCGAGGCTGTAAATCTGTACGGGAGCAGAAAGCCTCATCTTTCTCCTGCGGAACGGCTGGTAGTTTCGAACTGCTGGCCTTAAGGTTCGCAGCCCGATTCGTAACCACTACGCTACCAGAGCTCCGACCCCATCGAGATAGATGTTTCTATATCGTTTCACAGATAAAGGAAGCCATATCCCCAGAGAGGGTTAGTGACTTGCCCACGTCACACAGCCACGTGTAGCACATCAGACAAGCCTATGCCCTCTCCCCATGCTTCCCAAATTCAATGGCCTATCCAAATTGTTGTCGTTATTGTAACGTGCCGTGAAGTCGGTTCCAACTCTTAGCGACCCTGTACAGGGTTTCCGAAGCTGTAAATCTGTATGGGAGCAGAAAGCCTCATCTTTCTCCTGCGGAACAGCTGGTAGTTTTGAACTGCTGACCTTAAGGTTTGCAGCCTGATTCGTAACCACTACGCTATCCAAATTACCTGGGGATTATTCTAAAAGTGAAGACTTTCAGGATTGGACTCCCTTTAAGTCTAGAATCTTCCAGGAATCTAAGACTTGACCATTAGAAAATTCTACAGGTGATCTAGAGAAGTTCTCAGAAGTGGGTCTGGGAACTCCCATTCGGCACCACAGAAGAATTAGAAGCTGCAGGAAGGCAGTCTCGGGGGGCTCCCTCAACCGCCTCTGTTTGCTCTGGTCACTGGGGACTGGCATTCCCTGCCCCCACCCTGGGTCTTCTTCAGGGAGCAGGTGGCTGGGAGGAGAGGGTGCAGTTGCCCTGGCCTTGCCCGGCCCCTCCTTCCCTCTCCCCCGTCCGTTTCTCGTTGTACCCTTCTCTAGCCAAAGGAAATGGAGTGGGCTGGGGGGGAGGCGGTCAGCTTAGCTCACATCCGCTGCCCAGGCCTAAATCAGGAGTGACCCTCCTTCCTACCCCCAGGCTAGTGTCCCCGGGGGAAGTGCCTGGAGCCACCTCCAGGAACCAGCCCCTCCGCCCTCACCAAGGTCCCCAACCCAGTCCCTGAGCTTCTCCCAGAACTGCCTTTCCTGCCATTGTTTAAGAAGGACCGGAGCCACCCAGCCTGCCCTGCCCCCTGTTCCAGCCCCTCCTGGGAGGGGCTGCATCCCGCCACAGAGCCACCCAGACTGTCCAAGCAGGCTGTTGGGCTGAAGGGCTTTCTGCATCTGACCTTCCTTGAGGCTCCGAGAGGTGCCGGTGCTAGCTCAGGTGACAGGCAGAGTGAGAATTTGAACTGCGCTCTTTCTGCTCCTGTCCTTCCCTCTGTCCTGAGTGATTCTGGGTGGTCAGCTTCCTAGGGTACTTGGGAGGCCTGTGTCCCTCCCTCACTCTGTTATCACTCCTGGCTCAGTATTTACCTTTCTGGAGTAACAGCTCAGCTCTGAATGCAGCCATCCCCTCCCTGCTCACCCCATGCCCCCCGCCCCCCACTCACCCACCCCGTGCCTAGTCCCTCCCTGTTGGAATGAGGCCTTGTCTTGCCCAGGCTGCTGGGGCATTCAGGGGCCCACCAGGGCTGGGGGGCAGGCCTGGACCAGTGTGCCTGGCACCCTGCCTGGCCGGGTGAGTCTCCTCCTTCCCGGCAGGAGTGGGCTGTGGCAGGAGGCCTACGATAGGCCTTCCTCTTTCCTCTCCCCAGCTCTCATCCACCGATGACCATTCTCACCCTAGCAGGTTCCCACACCCTTGTCAGTCCTGTTCCGAGGGGGCTGAGCATGTCTCCTGTCATACCCCCAGTCCCTCTTGCCACCAGCCAGGAGCGCATCCTGCTCAGAAGTGCATAGCTCAGCTTGGAACCCCTGGGTGAAGTTGGCGGTGACACCAGGGCAGGCTGAGATTCAGGGACAGTGAGGGATTGGATTCTACCAGCTTTTCACTGTGGATGATAGATAGTGGCTAATGAGTAAGGAAGGTGCTTGGTGGTGCTGTGGACTAAGCATTGCACTCTATTAACTGCAAGGTAGGCAGTTCAAACCCACCAGTTGCTTCTAGGGAGACAGAGATAGCAGTTTGCTCCTATAAATATTTATAGTTGCAGAAACCCTAAGGAATGGTTCTGCTGTGTCTCATCAGGTCCCAGTGAGTCAGAATTTACCCAGCAGTGGGTGGCTAGCGAGTAAGGCGTGCGCAGTGATGGTAAAATAGCAAACCAAACCTGGTGTAGTCAAGTTGGTTCCAACTGATGGTAGCGCCGCAGGGTGATCCCGGTTGTCATCTTTACAGAGCCAGATCACCAGGCCTTTCTTGCACTATGCCACTGGGTGGGTTAAAACCACCAATCTTTAAGTTAGCAGCCTAACGTCAATCATTTGCACCACTCAGGGACTAAGTGGTGACAGCTCCCATATTTCCCCTGCTGACAAGGGTCAGGCCCTGTACTCGCGACCTCTGTGGGGCAGGTACTCTGGTCAGCCCATTTTACAGATGAGGACATTGAGCCTTACGCAGGCTCACCCTAGCAGAGGTAGGGCCAGGTGTAGGTCTGTTGAACACTGCCTTCACCACCATGTAGCGCTTGGGCCTGTACCACGTGTGGCATGGTGCTTGTGACTCCAGCCCTGGCACTGACTAGTTCTTCTGCTCTTGCATACCTAGTGTCCCCTTTCCTTCCTCAGGGACCACTCCTCTGTCCCATGGTTCAATGGGGCTCCCTCCCTGTCCCCTCTAAGCAGGAATGCTAGCCATGCATTCTGTGGGCCTGTCTGGCCTGGGCACGGCGTGCCAGACCTACCCGCCCCCCTCGGCTCTATAAGCCATCTGGGTCCTCCAGCGGGCAGGCGTGTGGGCCAGTGGTCAGCCTGGGAGCCACAGGGCCAGGACAGAGAGGGCCATGGGGCAGGTGCTCTCCTGCACACCAAGAGGTCAGTGGGGCTCAGAGAGGGGGGAGGGACCTGGTAGAGGGTGCAGGGGAAGCTGGGGGTCGTTCTGTGGTGCCCTGATGCCACCTACCCTGACCCCTAGAGCTCCTCGGCTCTACAAAGAGGCTCAACGTGAACTACCAAGATGCTGACGGGTGAGTGTGAGCCCCCCTCCCGAGAGCTGTCGGGGAGCCCTTAGGGAGGGGGAGGAGGAAAGACCCTGAGCCTGAGGTCAGACTTGGTCCTTGAAGTGTGTTTGCTGAGCGCTCTGGGCTCTGCCCACTCACAGCAGAGCAAGTCTTGAGATCGGAGCAGGGGCCCCGGTGCCTCTCTGAGGGGCCTCCTGGGGTCAGATTCCTGCTGGGCCCCCTTTTTTCCCTGGAGGATAGGAGCCCTCAGGCCCTGCTCCCACGGCCCCCTCCCCTGGGCTGGCGGGGTTGAGAGGGGGGCGGCAGACAAATAGGCTTCTCAACACAGACACTGGGCCCTTTCATCCCGGCCCTGCGCTCCCACGGCTGGCCAGCCGAGCGGGGGTGGGGATGGCAGGCCACAGTGGGCAAGTCACCCACCCTGCCAACCCCTGGGATGGAGTTGGGGTGTGGAAGACCAGGATTTGAGGGGTGGGGCTGCTCACTGACATCCCTCCCTGGCCCCCCCACATGCCAGATTCTCGGCACTGCACCATGCCGCCTTGGGGGGCAGCCTGGAACTCATTGCCTTGTTACTGGAGGCTCAGGCTACTGTGGACATCAAGGATAGCAATGGTGAGACCCCCCC